GCTGGGCAAGGGTTTTCTCGGGAGGGGGAGGTCTTCAGTGCATCTCATTTAAAGCTCTTTTCTTAGTGGAAATAGGAGCCAGGTCCTGGGCCTGCAGGCACCCTCGTGCCCTCTCCTTCCTTGCTTCCAGCTCCCAGAGTCTCTGACACACACACACACACACACACACACACTCGCCCGAGACTCGGTCCAGGTGGGGCCAAGGCGTAAAGGGTCAGGCCCTGCCACTCAAGCTCCTGAGCACCCACAGGCCGGGTCTCGTGGCCTAGGCCTGCAGGTTCGAAGGGCGACAACACCGGCGTGGAAAGGGAACGCAGAGGCATCTGGGACCGAGACGTCTCATAATTTCTTGGCGGGTCTCCAGCCGAGTGGCAGCTTAAAATAAACTGGCATGAAATGGGGTCGCGGAAGAGTTCAAGAATTAATTGGGTGAAAAATAGTATTTGACTAGATGATCGGACTTGCATGGCTGCTCTTCCGTCCGACTTGGAGTCGGGAAGACAATAGCGCACCTCCGGTCCTCTTCCCGAGCCCCTCTTCCCAACCTGACCCTCATTAACCCCTCTCACGGACATTTCGGGTCTTGAGCAAGAGAATGGAATCAGGCACCTTTTATCCGAGTCGGAGCCGCGGGCCGAGGGGCGGCGGGGGCTTCACCAGCCCTGGCTCCAGGGCCTCTGTATTTCCCTGCCTCCGCGGGCAACTTCCAGTGCCGAGGGCGAAAGGCAGCCCCGGGTGTCGAAGCCCCGTGCAGGATGGCGTGCCTGGCCCACCGTGAACCCCTTCAGAACCCTCAAAGCAAGCAAAGCAAAGCGCCTCCAATGTCCCATCCCCCACCCACCCCAGCGGAGCCTCCAGCAGCGCGGGTGTTGGCTGCGATAAGCAGAGACGTGTCCTTTAAACCGCGGCACAGCAGTCTCGAGGGGAGAAGAAACGGCCTGATATGTCATCGATGGACTTCCACTGGCGGACAAGAAATCAGCGGGACAGCAAAACCCTAATAAAAATAATACCGGGCTTGTAAAGAGCCATTTCTATCCAATAGTGTGCTTTCACTTTAAACGCCATCTCATCTAATCCTCAAAACAACCCCGGAGGATTGCTGATGTGAGACTCGTTTGACAAAGTACAACACTGCCTCAGAGAGGTTAAGCGAGTTTTCCAAGGTCACTCAGCGGGAGCTTGAAACTCTGACCCCTTTACTTGGCAATAATAGGAGCTACAAGGAAAGAAAAGAAAAGGGAGGTGAAGGGAGGGAGGAGAGATGTCCCTCTGATTTCTCTGGAGTCGTGGTTTCTAGTGTGTTGGAGGGCAAGGCCCGCTCCTTGCCCTGCTCGGGGTTGCTGGAGAAAGAGTAAATTTGTGAAGAGTTAGCAAGGAAAGCTTCCCGGAGACCTTGAAGGGGCTGAGAAATAAAGCCAGCTGGGAGGGCAAGGGTGTGTTTGCAGGGCGTGGGGGGTACCATGGACAGTGCGAGGCGAGTGCGAGAGCGGCCAGGGGCCTGACCCCACCGCGGGACTGCCGAGGGCGGGTACTCCTATTGCAGCGGCCCGTCCTCCGTTCTCTGGCGTCCACTTCGGTGGCTTCAGGGTGTGCCAGGCCACGTGTGGACCGTCGCCTCTGCTCGGAGTCGCACCTGGGGCTGGGCATCCACCTATTCAGGCGGTGGACCGGGTAACAGCCACAAGGGGCTTGGGGTGTGGGGAGGTAGATGAATGCAAATGGCCCCCAGACCCACGGGACAGAAAGAATGGTGGGGTGGGGGGATGGGGAAGGATCAGAAAAGAAATCTATCCAGAGGCCAAAGAAACAGACAAAAGGCGGGCAGGCCTCGCGCCGCTCCCGGCAGGCTCACGTGCCACCAGGGCTGGCAGCTCTCCCGCGCCCCTCTTTGTTGTGTGGCAATCGCAGCCCGCCTGCGTGGCGGGAAAAGGGAACTGGAACGCGGCCTGAGGACTTGAGACAAGGCCTTCTGCACCGGAGCTAGCGACAAAGGACTGGAGAGGTGGCTTTGCCAACAACCCCTCTCCACTTTCGCTGATGAGGATAATTATTGTGTCGAGCTCATAGAAAGTGACATAAAAGCACAGCAGTAAACACTCCTAACCACACTGTCCTCCCCCTGTCTCTCCTAAATAGAAATTTTGGGGCGGTTACTGTTTGGAACTGATGGACATTTGGCGAGGGGTGGGGTGAGGGAACAATTGGATCTAACGTGGAAAAAAATGTCCTCCTCCTCACGCCTCTACCGAGAGGTAAAAACTAAATCTGAATTAAAAACAGATTCTGCAAATGGTCACGGAGGGAGTAGAGCTAAGGATGGAGAGGCATAAATTCCCCCGCCCCTTTATCCGGTTTCTCCGTCTCTCCAAGACTTGTCACCTGCTGACAGGTCTCTTGCCCAAGAGAAAGAAGCAGGGCGTTAGCTCCTCCCGCCGGGCAAACCTTTCTGCCTTCTCCAGTTACCCCCTCTCACCACGCAGACTGCTGCCCGATCCCCCACCCGCCCTTTTTTGTCTGTGAGATGTAATTAATTGTACGAAGTGTCGAAGCTCAGACTCAAACATTTTTTTTAATGCACCTTTCCCTGCCCGTGGCTTCTCCCTCCCTCTTCAAAAGCTCGACGCAAATTTGGAGCAATTAGAGACCCCGAGTTTTCTAAAAGCTGCAATTAACGTCGAAATTTCCGCTGATTATAGACTTTGAGCACAGCGCAGAGGGAAAGGAGGAGGCGGAGGTTAGATCTTAGCTCAACGAAAGCCAGAGACAGAAAACTCAATTCTCGCTGGGACTCTCGGTTCCCCACCGCCCCTTGCCCTGACCCCTGTTGTCCCGGTAAGCAAAGAAACCACACACAACAGAACAACAGCGCTCTCTGCGCGCGCCCCTCCTCTGCCGCGAAGCCCCTAGCCAACGCCGCCGCCTGGACCCTTCAGTGCCCTTGTCCTTCAGTGTCCTAGGAGTAACCTGGCGTCCCTGACAGCCAAATGACCTCTGGCAGGAACCTGGGTCAGAGCCCCATTTGTTTCCCAGCCTCCATCATCTCCGTTTTCCTCTTTCCCTTTCCGCCAGCGCCGACGTCCCAGCGCCCTCATCTCATCTTCCCTGCAGCCCATTTGATAGGAAACTGGGGCAGGACCTACTTGTGGGGCGCAGGTTCGTGGTATTGGGATCCGTTCCCGCGTTCGAGGAGGTTGCAGACGAAGAAGGGGTCGAAGACGCCATCAGTCTGGTTGTCCCGGGGCCTCTGCTCTCCGGGGTCTTCGGCTGATCGGGGGCAGGAATAGGCTGCAAGGAGAAGCGAGAGCTGTGTGGGGAGGGCTTCCGGGGTCCTGGCACCGGCGGCGACGGA